GGGGAGGAGGTGCCGCTGTGTGCCAGGGGGCCCCGGTCCCGCCGGCTTGTCAGTCGGCAGATAGAGAAACTGCCTGGCTTGGACAAGGGTTTGGAAGACCTCAACTGAGCAAAGGCCAGGAGCACCCCTCAAGAGAAAGTGTACTGCTGCCGTAGGGAAAACGCCTGTTTTGGACAGGTTTATTGGTCTGTTTTGGGTGCAGTTGTGTCACGGGAGAGGGTGTGCAGCCACCTCGCTGTGTGCCTGGGGTGGGGAGGACATAAAACCCAGCCGTGCACTCTTTCGATGAACCTGAAAGAAGTGGTCTCAGCCAGCAGAGCCTAGAGCTGGGAGTCGTGTGTTGCCTTCACCCTGTCAGAAGAGTGATGTCTGGCATCAAGACGCAAAGGAGGGCATGAGGAGAGTACCTGGAGAGAGGTTTGCACTTCTGTGTATCTTTATTAAACGGTTTCCCTGACCTGTACATCAGAGCAGCCTGCAGAGACGAGAAGGAAAACCACAACCTTAACCATGAAATTGATAACACTTAAACCTCGAGAGAAAAAAATTATTTTTTTCCCTGTTCTCAGTGGAAGTTCTCATATCCCGTGTCCTTAATGCTTTTCATCTCCCACTGCTGCCAAAGCACTGAGAACTGGCACAGACAGGTCAACTTATCAGATAATGTGCCTGTTAGAGCAGTGTACTTCTGAATTATTTTCCTGTGTGCAGCATAACTCAGTGCTGGCCATAGGTCTTCTGGAGGGGGAAGGAAATCTGTTTCTAGCGCAGACTCACCAGCTCCCTGTGGACCTGAGTGCGGACAGTGCTGGCTTTGCTCTTCCAGCTGGTGAGTAGTGCCATCCTGGGAGGAGGCAAAGGCAGGAGCAAGTTCTCCATCTGCTCTCTTGCTGGTTCAACCTAGCATTGTCTGGTCAGACAGAGCAGAGCCAACAGTGGAGGGGGAAAAAAAATGTCTATTTGCGGTCCCTGTGGCAGCTACTGTAAGCGTGAAAAACAATGACTTTAACAGCCTTGGATGATAGTTCGACCTGGACACCCTGAAACCTGAATGAATGCTAGTAAATCTATTATTTGGCAAGAGCCTGCAGATCTCGTTGCCGTATGCAACAACGGGCAAAGTTAAATACCCAGTTTTGCTACATAAAACCTCACTAAGCATTAGAAATTAGAAAGGATTATAATAGTCTTAGTTACAGCAAAGCAGATTCTTCTTTGGGACCCATTTCTGCGTGGCTGCATCTATAAGATGTTACTTTGCAGTAGTCCTGTCAGGTAACATCCCTTCTGGAAACTGCCTTGCAAAACTCTGTTTTAGAACTGACTCTGTCTCAAACTTGCAAGCTGGGACAATGGAATACAAACCTGGGTAGAATTTGCCCATGGAGGTGTGTGTTATCTGGGAGAGTGATTTACTTTCAACAGTTTCATTAAAAAACCAAACTCTTTCAACTGCTTTTGCCAGGTCCTCAGAAGCCAAACAAGGTCAGCAGTTGTTACTGCTTAGGGTTAAACCTTACAAGAATGGACACAGCACCACGTTTTCAAAATTTGATAGTTGCCAGAGCAGGGTTGGCCCTTGTCAAGAGCCTTACTGTGAGGACAAAGTGGGACTGCATCTGGATTTACACCAACTGCATGAATCGCCCTCAGAACCTCTTAGCACTTCTTGCATAGGCAGCAGTGTTACCTCAGTGTGCTGTCCAAATTCCAGTTCAGTCAGTTACGTGATCAGCACTTAAATTTCTTGTGTTGTTCACCAAAAGTGTTACACAGTTCCTCTCCTCTGCCTGGTTTACTGTTGTTATAATATGCTGTTACTGTAGTCAGAGGTAGCTGCATTTTAACTAGGGTAAAATGATTGACATACAACTAAAACTTGATACGTCAGTAAAGTCTCAAATTCCCATAGAGCCTGCTCCTTTGGGAAAGAAGTGCTGGCATGAGTAAATCTTCAAGCTGCAGAAAAATGGGCAATGTCAGCAAGTGAATTTATTACAGGTACGTAGTTCTGCACAGCAGATTCTTGCAGATAAAATGTGGAGGTCCAATTAACGCCTAGAGTAGGGTGATGTACAGAGATTTGCTCATGTACAGAGATTTTGTTAGGTTGTCTCTTAATAGAGAAATGTACTAGAAGTGCTGTATGATATATAAAATTTGACCATTATTGAACTACAAGAGGATGTTTATCTAACCTTTTCAAAAATGTTTCTGTCCTAAACAGACAGAAACAAGGATGAGTATAATTCTGTGTAAAAAACAAAAAAAAAGGAGGCACTAAATAATTATACCAAGGACCCTTGAGCTTTTGTTAGTTTATAGACTTGGTCGATGCTTGACAAGCAAACAAAGGTACAGTTGAAAGTAAGGAGGGAATTTAAATTCTGCCTTGTCCCCTACGAAGCGTTGCTTAATTTTAAAATAACACGTGAAGTCTTGTCCTGGTCCTGTTAGAACTGGTCATATGTTTACAAGGTCTTTGCAGGACTAAGGCCTTGAATGATAAGTTATGATTGAAGGGTGCAGAGCAACCAGCAAGAAATACTACTTTGAGTTCTAGCTGAAGTCACAGAATCACAGAATCACAGAATAGTAGGGGTTGGAAGGGACCTCTGTGGGTCATCTAGTCCAACC